AATCTTTTCTAAGTGAAAATTTTAAGTGTCTCCTCTGTAAAAGAACATCCTCTTAATAGTTCTATCCACAACCACGTTCATCAATGCTAGGCGTGTACCTTGTTTCCTGTACCAAAAGTTACACAGTGAGGATTTCCCATGCTAACACATGTCACACTCCAAGTAGTTCCATCAACCTCCAGTTCTCCTTTAACAACAGATTGATCTTTATTTGCCAATAATTTTGTGGGAACATCTGATGCCTTGAGAACGGGCTCACCCATATCAACCCTAACCTGAAACTTATGATGAATTAATATCTAATGTAGAGAATATCATTTAATGCAAATATTTTCAAGTGAAATTTGCACTACATAGGACTAAATCATAAGTCATTTCCCAATGTAGGATTTAAACTTTTTTATTCTCTAAATAGTACTTTGTACTTAATAATGTCTAGTGGGAGGAATAATGTCCAGTGAACGTGGACATTTACTTGAATAATGACTAATAAATAATGACCAATGGTCTTATATTGGGAAATAAAAAAACATATGGTCCTATATTGAGAAAGTCATTATGTTTTAGTCCTATTTAGGTAAATTACCCTATTTTCAATGAAATGCCATAATTCCAATATTCCATCCTAAAACAATGAGAACATAGAGCATTTTATGTTAAGACATTGAGTGGACCATGAGAGAGAGAGAGAGAGAGATCACCTTTCCGTCTTCGTGTCTCTCAGGAACAATCAAGCCAGCTCCAGTGTGTACAGTGAAGCTAAGGGAATAAAAAATAAGGGCATATGATAATCAGCCAATAGTGATTAATAAGAAAACTGTTATCTGTTTGCTTTAGTTAGATATCATAACTAGTGCATAGCCCAAGAATGGTAATAATATTCATCCGTCCCAAAACAAGGTTCCACAAGTGAACAGAAACCGTTATTAATAAAGATGAAAGTTATGTGGTTGATGTTTTGGTGAACCTTTTTTTGGGACAAAGAAAAAAAGAAAATGTGGAACATTTTTATGGGACGGAGGAAATAGCAGCATAAAAAGAAGCATAATGAAATGGTACATTTGCTTTCCATGTAGATTCTCAAGCTCGCATATGAATTTGGTAAAGCATCGAATTCCATTACCACACATCTGCATACAGAAGGACCTCTATCTCAAGTACTGTGTAAATGTCTATGCAGTTCAGAAACAAGAATTGAAGTTTAAAAGCTAGAGAAACAACATTGGACGTGTAATTTCAAAAATGAATTAAATACGACCGGTTGTTGGTCAGATGTTCAACTACTAATGTGGCGAACTGCTACCTAAAAGCAACTATATCGGATTAAGGATAAAGCAACACATTACCTCAGGCTCACTGCCATCAGAATTGAATATCCTCATGGTATAATCAGTCCCATTGGTGCCAGGCATTGTGAAAATCACCCCGTCGGCACCAATGCCAAAATTTCTATCACACAGTTTCACAGCCTGCTCAGGGGTGATTTTAGGTTCTGCAGAATCTCTGTTATCAACCTGCATTGAAAACACTCGGCCTATAAAAAATTATAAGATCACTTGTAAGCCTGTAATATTTTTCACTGATAAATGTGGAATGGCAAGCTTCATGAATGATACTGAAGAAGCTCCCATGTCAGTTTGTTTTTCAGTTACTTGAATGAAAAAATAATAATGATTCTTTTCACAATTACGTATTTGGCATCCTAAGATATAGCAACTGAAAATTTATTGGTCAGCAACCTCAGCAATAAACTATCAAAATAGAAAAGAGATTCTTTTTGTAAGATACGTCCTCAACAGTCAATTCCATGTGTTTGATGATATGGTTTGTGGAGAAAAGACGGCTCAATGACTCAATGTCATAGATGTCAGCATAACAGGTACACAATGATAACAGATATGAAAGTGCTTAACTTTGATAGCTATGAAATCACTTAATTGTTCAATAAACATTCATCTGACCTCTACACCCAATCAAGAAACTACTTAACCAGTAAAAGAAAAGGATTAGTATTTTTTACTCCGGGGTAATGCTGAAGGGTGAACCAACAGCAACTAGAAAACTTCGAGGACTTTATTTCTTTAACAAGGATGTGCTAGAATTTTTCTCTATTGCTGACATTTAATATCACAGTTTTCAGAAATAACTAAAGATTTTTTTTTCAAAATCAGTTGGCATAAAAAAACAATCATTTCCTTTCTCCTTTAAAAAAAGGAAAATTATTGGAAAATTAGCAATAAACAATCTCATGAACGATGATGTGCGCATAAACACAAGCATATAGAAGTATAGAATTACCAGTATGAAATCGTTGCCGAGGCCATGGTACTTTGCGAAGTGAAGATATCCACCTTCTTTGCGATCAAGAAACGAAGCCGGATAAGCTTTCTCCGTAGCTTCCGTGCTCATTGACAGAGCAGCCGAAATGCGGAGAGAAGAGAGCCGAACGGAGAAACTGAGAGTATGCCGTCGCGAGGATGACGGCGTGTAATGAGAAAAATTGAACGGAACGGTTAAGGAGGAAGACAAAGATCGGCGATTGGAAGCCCTGAGGGGAAGCGTTACGGCGGCTGCGGCTATCGCCATGGAAGAAGACGAAGGTGGAGTGAGAAATGTCAAGGGAGTCAATATAAACCCAAAAAATGGACAGAAAATAAAATATATACCCCTATGTCCCTAAATTATTTTATTTAAAGATTAGTATATAAATAAAAAATAAAATTTATATATAATAATAAACATATAATACAAGAAGTGATAAGAATATTTTATTTCATCAAATAGATAATAAAAACAAACAAATAAACAAAAGTTCTTACCATTTTTGAATAATAAAGTGTGAATTATTTTTTTGACTCTTAACTCTAAGGATACGTTTGGTTGGAGGTAGGTAAAAGTTTTATTAGGTAGGTAATAGTAAGTAATTGAAGATAGATAATTGAAAGGAGGTAAAGTAAGGTAATTAGTTAAAAAATTGTATTTGGATGTTTATTAGGTAACGTAATGTAGGGAAAGAATAAAATTACTAAAATATCCTTGTAGTTGTTTTTCTTTATTTGCTTAAAATGTATTTATATGAAATTACTTTTCACATTATATTTTTACTAATATCGTGCCCGTGCGTTACACGGGTCATTTTTATGTTATTAAATTCAAATCATTTTCAATATAAAAAATGAGATGCAATAGAATATAGAAATTATATTATTTTAAAGTACAAAACATCAATGTTTTACAAATTTTGAAAGACTTCTTTATAGACTACATTTTTTGTACAATTTGTGAGAGTATTGTCTTCATTGTATATCAGAATCTTCAATCCACTACGATTAGTTACTCCTGAAATTGCAACATAAAACTCTCCATGACTAAACTAATTGCCATTTTATTAGCCTTTATTTATTATGGTAATTAGATTTTTAATTACCTTTTTTTATATACGTACTTAATAGTTTATTACCAAAACACATGTTTATATTACCAAAACACGATTCCGTTACCAAACTAATTACCATTTTATTAGCGTTTCTTTATTATGGTAATTAGATTTTTAATTATCTTTTTATATACGTACTTAATACTTTATATTAAATATATGTACTTAACACTTTATACTAATTTTATCATTCAAAATACATGTATATATTACCATTTTTAAATATAATAGTTTATTAGACATTATTACATATAAATTAGTAAATGTAATTAAATACAATTACCATTTGTATAAATTAACATAATAACATAATAATATATCTATTTTATTAGCCTTACTTTATTATGGTAATTAGATTTTTAATTACCTTGTGTGATATACGTACTTAATTTTTTATTTAACATGGCGTGTGTGAATATTTTATTACCAAAATACATGTTTATATTAATTTAAACGTTCAAAATACATGTATATATTACTATAAATGCAAGTAAACGAAATCATAAATTTAAGAGCAAATCTCATAAGAAAGGCAAGTTTGTCTTATAGAAAATTTAAAAAAACAGAATTAAACTTAAAACAATTAAAAAACCCAAACAGAATGCAAATGTATCAAAATTTAAATTCATCAAACACAAAATAAAATTGTTGATTCATATGTAGAGCTGGCAAATCGGTCGGTCAGGTCGGGTTCAGGTTCGGTCACTTCAAGTTCGGGTTATTTCGGGTTCGGGTCAATTCGGGTTCGGGTTGAGAACTGTATGTTCATGACCCAGTATCGTCGGGTTCGGGTCGACCCAACGGGTTATAACTTTGATTTTTAAAATTTTTAAATTCACATTACCACTTACATTTTCTATTAAATAAATTTAAAATATCAAAAAAAATGTATTAAATCTATAAAATTGATTTATTTTAAACTCTNAAGTTCGGGTTATTTCGGGTTCGGGTCAATTCGGGTTCGGGTTGAGAACTGTATGTTCATGACCCAGTATCGTCGGGTTCGGGTCGACCCAACGGGTTATAACTTTGATTTTTAAAATTTTTAAATTCACATTACCACTTACATTTTCTATTAAATAAATTTAAAATATCAAAAAAAATGTATTAAATCTATAAAATTGATTTATTTTAAACTCTAAAGTAATTTTTTAGATATATAAATCAATATAAGGAATTTAAAAATGCTTAAGTTTTGGAAAAAAAGTAAGATAATTATGCAATATCATTAAAATTTTCTCTGCAAATATAAATTTGTACACTAAAAACGAGTAGTAAAGTGTATGATTTTGAAAAATTCTTACTTTAGCGGGTCGGTCAGGTCGGGTTCGGGTTCGGTCGGGTTTGACCCATTTTAAGCGGGTCATTTCGGGTTCGGTCATCAAAACCATTGTTCAAAACCCAGTGTTTTCAGGTCGGGTTTCGGGTCAAAAACAGGTCGGGTCATTTTTTGCCAGGTCTATTCATATGTCATTCCTTCTCCACCTTGACCGCCTTCAATCTCTTATTCTCCGCAATCGAACTGAATTAATGTTATAAAGATCTCTTCACAGGGTCCGCTTGATGAATTACTTCTTTTCTTGATATACTCTCTTCTCTCAAAACCTTCATGACATCATTTGAACCAATCTGCAAATAAAATTAAAGTTTAATATTTTTTCATGGAAAAATTTATACAAATACTCCCAAAAATTTGAAATTTTACAATAATACTCCCTAAATCAAATAAAGATATTGATGCTCCCAATTAAGTTTTAAGTTTACATCATTACTCCCATTTTGCTTAATCAATTTTTCTAATTATGGTTACATATAATTAATTAATTGATTGTGCTTAATCAATTTATAGCTTACCTCTCTTCCCACAATATGGGGGGTTTAGAGGGACATACAGATTAGCACAAATATTATGCTTGCAATTCAGACCCAGACGACTTTCTGTGTTTGATGAAGATGAAGACGCGAAGAACTCCACATATTTGAAGCAGATCTTTGCTTCCGATGGTTTCTCAATAAAACATCATAAACAATTGACATATTTCCTTATGAGAGAGACTATGTGATATGAAGAAAGAAGAAAAGTCACTCGTAAAGATTTACCATTGAACCTTGGGTATGAAGAATGGAGATAGATAAATTTTGATTATACTGTATTCCGTATTTTTTTTGAACACACGAATGGTTATTACTCCTTAAAATAGAAAATACAAATCAAATTTTCCAACTAAGCTCATTTAATGACACTTAAAAGTAAGAAAGATTGATTAGGCACAATGGGAGTAACCATGTAAACTTAAAATTTAATTGGGAGCATAGGAGTCTTTATTTGATTTTGGGAGTATTATTGTAAAATTCTGAATTTCTAGAAGTATTTATATAAATTTTACCTTTTTCATTGACCACAAAGATGTGGGTTTTTTTGGAAATTACGTTAGTTTATGGGTGTGAATAAAAATACCATTTCGAAAGCATCTCCATTATTCTCATGTTCTCTAAGAGTTTGTTCAAATTGATCTTCCAAATTCGTCGTTTCATACCGGGATATGATAGTTTTATCTGTTATAAGATCCGAAACTCCAAAACTTTTGCCACCAGCATATATAGGAATTGTTTTCCAAATCGTCTTTGACGTATATGCAAATTAAAGCCCGCATATCAACAATGTCTCTAATCTCCTTCGGAATGTTGCTTGAATCATCATTTCTCTATATGTTTCAAAAAGTGTTACCTTAAATTGCACTACAAAAACTTTTGTAAAGAGTTAATAAGTCAATACCTCGTCCATCACATTCTTCATGGCACCGGCTGGCATGCCAAAAAGCTCTGAACATTCCTTATCCCATAAAATAAGCGAAGTAGCATCGTCATTATCAATAACGCAAATACTCACATTGTATCTATTAATCATACGTTATGAATTAGTAATTTAAAAATTTATTCTTTTGGGGTATTAAATTTTTGAATACAAATTATAACCTATACACTCTTTCAAGACAATTTCTGTCGCATTTTATACACTTGAACCTTATAGCATCTGGAAAGAGTGTATAGGTTTGTATTACTAGAAATATATATTTGCTTATAGGAATTATTTAAAATTAAGAACTTTAATCGACTATTGATATAATTTTCCTTGTTGATGGCACTTGCCTTTCGAAAGATTTTAAATAATTTAAAATATTAAATTATTTACTCTTTATAATACTAAACTTTATTAAATTCTTTCATAAATTAGTTACGTATTTTAATAACATAATTCCAAAAGTATTAATCAGTTACCAATTAATATACTCATGAAGAATTTTGTTATTAAATATAATTTTGTTTATAAAGTTTTTATGAAATAAAAATTAATCGTTAGCCATACTCCATTTCCTTTTTGGTCGTTCTTGACTACTTAAAATGTACTTGAAATTTTTAATTAGGAAATTATTTAAATTATATAATACTTAATTATTAATACCAAAAAACAACGCAATTCAGTTCTTTCATTAATTAGGAAATTAGAAAATATGTAACTAATTTAGGTATTTAAATGGAATTAGTATTTATTTCCTTTTTGGCCTCTCGTGACTACTTGAAATGAATTTAAAAATTTAAATTATGCCATTGTTTACTTTCTATAATTCTAAATTATTAATACCTCATAAAAATTAATCTTATTCGCAACCATAAATTAATCACGTTAGCATTATAATTATTTCTTTATAATCACGTTTGGTAAGTTTTTAATAATTATTATTATTAAAAAAGGAATTATTATTATTAAAAAAAGAACTATATTAATACCGATTTTTTTGCCTAATTATTTATTTTTATTGTTTAACTATGTAATAATTAATTATGGTATTGTTATCATTTATTTTAACCAATATACCTACCTTATTAATTGGTAATAATCAATTACCGTTTTGTTAACTGAAAAATAGTAAGTTTAAAATTAAAGTTATATAAATAAGTTTACAATAAAGGTAAGTAGATTAATAATTAATTACCAATTTAAATTACTTACCTTTTTAATCATTTTCCGTTTAAATTAATCACGTTAGTATTATTATTATTTCTTTACAATCACGTTTGGTAAGTCTTTCACAATAATTATTATTAAAAAAGGAGTTGTGTTAATACCGAATTTTTTGCCTAATTATTTATTATTGTTTAATCGCATAATAAATAATTATCAATTTTAATTACGTACCTTTTTAATCATTTCCAATTTAAATTAATCATGTTAGTATTATTATTATTGTTTAACCGTGTAACATTAATTGCCATCAATTGCCATAATTAGGTTGGCCGTGTAAACGTAATTATTTAATTTAATCATTAATTGTAATTGAGTCATTACCATTTTAAGTGAACAATTACCATTTTTATTGCAATACCAAATGGCCGGGAAAACCACCTCTGGAATTCATGGCTTTTTAAATAAAGTATGGATTAGTTTTTACCCCGTGGATTGCACGGGCTTTATATGCGTACTTAAAATATATATACAAAATTATTTTTACATCAATTCTAAACATTTTTTTTTATTTAATTTATTAGAATTGATTTAAATTTTAAATGTAAAATTATAAAAATTAAATAAACACTCTTGGACGAAACTTTTAAGTAACATCATCTTATATAAATGCAACTAATCAAAATTTAGTTGTCATACATTTCATAATAAAAATCAACCATATCGTTCTTCCACACATAAAAAAATATGGACAATAATGACTTCACATGTAACATATGTTCACAAAAAACGACATACTTAGACACAATTCTTATAATAAATAAAATAGTGACCACTTCAGATACCTTCCTTGTTCAGAAAATCACTGAGAAAACTTCCGCGTATTTCCTCCGGTAATCCAAGAATTGCTTTCACAGTCACAAATTTCTCCAAAAGGAACACGTACACATGACTCTTGTGACTTCCCTCAAAATTCAGCGATCCAATAAGGTTCCATATATCCGTTGGAGGTAGCGGATTCTTTTCTTTCAAATATACAAATTTTCATTAACAAATATTAAATGCTAAATTATTTATTTTATTTTGATTTTAAAGTCTATAGTGTTAAAGAATGCATGACATATGTTTTTTTGTAAATTCTATAAAAATTAAAACATTGAAGATAATTTATAGAAATGACAAAAAATTCATTCAACATCGTACATTACACGGGTCAAAATACTAGTTGTTTAAAAATACTGTAACAAATGCCCATACTCAGTAACCTCGAGTTATCCACAGACCCTTTAAAGTTGCGCTCCGTTCGTCTGATCTGATCTCATCTAATCTAATTTTTTGAAGTTTTGATCTGATCTGGTCTGGTTTGATCTGATGTGGTCTAATCTGATCTGATATGATTAAAATTAAAATTACTTTTATAATAATAATAATAATAATAATGCTAATAGTAATAATAGAAATAATAATAGTAATAATAATAATAATACTAATATAATCATAATAGTTATATTAATAATAAAAATGGTAACAATAATGGTAATAATAATAATCATCATCATTATAGTTATATTAATAATAATAATAACAGTAATAATGATAATAGAAATATTGATAATAATAACAATAGTAATAGTAATAATAATAATAAGAGTAATAATAATAATAATAGTAATAATAATTGTAATGATAATAAAAACAATAATAATAATAATAATTTTGTTTAAATCTGATCGGATTGGAGTTAATGAGGTCCGATCTGATCTGATTTAATTTTAATAAGAATTAATAATAAACAAAAAAAATAAGTTAACCTTGCTTAAATAGACACCTGCTCTGCCACGTTAAGGACTGCAACCCTCACATATGTTGGGGCAGCTTTATTCTTTCTCTTGTTCCCGCCCTCGACCTAATCAAGCCACCTGGTTTTCAAGAGCCGGGATTTTGCAACTATGAGGACGATGTTGAAACCCCGCGATCATCTGGCCGTCCTCGTAGACGCCGGCAAGTTCCGCACGCTTTTCACACACTCCGTCAAAGCGCATACCACGACGTCTCGATCTCTTCCGATCTACCATTCCAATTCTCCGCTGCACTCGAAGCCTATTGCTCTATACTTTTCCAATGTTCTCAGCCGTGGCTGCCATTTTCCGGCGAGAGCAGCATTCGGCGGCTACATCTTGCTTTCCGTTCGACGTATTCCTGATTTTTGTCCGGTTAAGAGCATTTCTTCTGCGTCGTCTTCTGCTCATATGGTGGAGTGGAACGAAGATGCTTCAGGCCCAGAAGCCACAAGTGAGATCGATGAGAAAAATTTGAGAGAGGACGACGAGGACGATATTATTGCCTCTGCCTCTGCGGCTATCCCTGTTAGGGCTTTTTTCTTTTCGACCAGGTTAGCTCCTTTATTTATCCAAAAAGGTGATTAGCTCTTGTTTAATTAAGTGCACATTTTCCACTTGCATGTTGAAATTATTTAGTTTTGCAGAGGCCTTTAAATGTTTACAGCAGTCATTGGCAAGTGACAAATCTAAATTTGGTATTTGTTAAAATTCCGACGGGCCAAGAACAACGGATAGAGTGTCGGGTAAAATTAACCACTTGCATATAAAGTCGGGATCCACAATTCTAACCCAAAAGCTTAAGCTGATAGGTAGGGCTTCACCCTTCAATTTATGCAAGTGATACTCATCTTTATTTTCCGATGTGGGAACTCCAACACTCCCCCGCAAGTGGTAACTAGCCTGGCCCAGTTAGCACTTGGACAAACGGGTCTAGCATCTCAATCTCTTATAGCTAGCCCACACAACTGGCGGTGGCATCTCAATCTCTTTTTAGCCAACTCAGCCCAAACCACATACGGGTATCTCATTTTTGCTAAACCCAAATTTAAACAATCAGGAACAATCAAACCCGGACCGGACCTGCTCCGATACCATGTTAAAATTCCGACGGGCCAAGAACAACGGATAGAGTGTCGGGTAAAATTAACCACTTGCATATAAAGTCGGGATCCACAATTCTAACCCAAAAGCTTAAGCTGATAGGTAGGGCTTGACCCTTCAATTTGTGCAAGTGATACTCATCTTTATTTTCCGATGTGGGAACTCCAACAGTATTCCAATTAGGGCATGTTTAGAACTTTGGAGACTGTTTTTCTCATACTCCACCACAATTTTTTCCATAAACCGTTTTTGTTGGTTGTGGAGGCTGAATTGATTGATAATAAAAACAAAGCTGTACATCATATACCCTCAGGCCTTAGCTATCTATAATGAACAAAATTAACAATATTGTCTTTTTTTGTATATTATGTTATTTGATTAAGAAAATATTTTCCATTATGGTTGTGGAATATTTGTTTTCGACATTTCGTCAAGTTAAGCAAGTCTCACAATTCCGGCCTCAATTTGTCCAACTTCACCAACTTCAGCCAAATTCACCCTTTCTAAACTCGAAAAATATTATGGAGCACATAGTAATTGATATTCTACTCTGTTTTACTTGTAACAATTTTTTTAATTAAACAACCTCTCTACATTCGAGTAGGGGCAAGGTTCGCATACACACCCTCCCCATCTGTTTTACTTGTAACATTTTATTTAATTGTATTTAATTTAATTTTGATTTATATTACTCGTTTTTGTTTGTTTCTTTTTCTATATACCTCACATTAATTAATACTCCCCCTATCTCGAAATGAAATTTACACTTATTTTGGATGTCCCAAATTGAACTTTACACTTTTTCACTTTTGTTTCTAGAAAATGAATATGCATCTCTCATATGTTTTCTTCTTCAAAATAAATTTTAACCACACCTTTTTACTAAATGCTTTTCACTTTTCTACACTTTTCTCAAGCTTTGCAAAGTCACAGTTACATTTCATTTTGGATGGATGCCGAAAATGTAATAAATTTAATTGCCATGGTCGGTACATTAATGTTTTGAAGGAAGCCATCACATCTTACCATGCAGTATCATCAGTAATTTTCTATTGTTGGGTGAAGTTCTAAAAATTCTTAAATTTAAATTGGACACTTTAATGTTTGTATATCTATATTATTAATAATGAAATTTTCCCTGTATTCGCTATGAAATATAATTGTTTATCTTTTCAGCAGTAAAAGCATGTATGCATTACTATTTAAGAAAAAGATTTTTAGAATGGCTATTTTGTCACCAACACAGACTGTCTTGGTGCTAAGCATACCGTTTCATCCCCATAACTCATACCTTCTCAACTATATATAACTTTTAGTTCAATGGCTGTTATGATGATTTATCTATGGATTTCTCTTCTATGGATTCCCATGCAAATGATTCAATCAATTTTAAAACAGATGCGTCCATTGCAATTGGATCTATAAGAGCCATTGTTGACAATGTTTTAGCTTTGGGTAGATAATGGACTAAATCAAAATGACACATTAAACTTCTTTTGTTCTTTATTTTCTATGAAGTTTTAGATAATGATTAGTGAATACACCAATGGTTTAACAGAAACATCTCTGTTTTTTATGGTGCAAGGCATCATTTATCTTGACCCAAACTCCAAGTCTCCATCAGAGATGAAATTAGAATGGGTTTTCTTATAATCTTAAAACACATGTTTTACATTTTATACCCCTGTAAATAGAAGTTTACAACACGTGTGAGTTGTGCTAAATCAATTTCATGTATTTGTAGGGTCAGCAAAAGAGTTCATGAAAGTTCTTGTTTCAAAGTGTTTAAACATTTGTCAAATTTAAATACTAAGAATTTATTAATGGTTCTATGAATTTCTGTAACAAATGGTTCTATAAATTTAGAGTTTTAGTTCATATATAAAATACTACTTTTGTGGGATTCTACTGGGTTGTTGTTGTTTTATTTCATATATGAAATAATTTTAGAAGACTTTAATAATTCCATAGAATAACGGATTGAATAACATCAAACTTTTGAAGTTTGCAGAATATGGTGGAATACCCTTTCTTTAAACATGAGGTCATTTGAGGAGTTTGTAATATCATATGGGCATATTTGGTGTATTTGGTGATTTTGTGTTGCTCAAATGGCTAATAAAGATGATGTGATGAAATAACTCAATTGAATTATTATGCTCACACTAATTTAAATGAGCTCAACCATTTCTTTATCCACCATACTTGCACCAAGGTTAAGTTTTATCTCTTGAACTTCCATGATCTTGTTCCTGTGATTTTCATTGACAGTGTGGATTTAAGGAGCCTGATTGAGCAGAACAAGCAGAATTTTGTTCCTCCCACGTCTCGTATGACCAATTATGTTGTTTTAAGATTTGGCTGCACCAAATCAAATTCTAATGTGAGTTTATTGTCTATATATGTTCCTTTTTCCACATGTTGAGTCAGAGGTGCGAGTGGTCACAATTTGCTCTCATTTTTGAGTCCCTCTTGGTGTATAATATCTGCAATGCTTTCTTTCTTAGCACTGAGTTGGATAGGTGTAGAATATTTAGGCAGTTCAGAGGAAATACATTTTCAAGGAAAATGAATTTCAATGGAAAAAGTTTTCCTATTGAAACTAAATTTTCCATAACATTTTGTAGTGCTTGGCAAACTTCCATATTTTTTTTTGGGCAAGTCTTATTCTCAGCCCTTATAGTTTTTTCTAAAAGTTACATGCCTATGATATAGTGCTAAGCACATCTTACCAAGAGGTAGAAAATTGGTTTCTCAGGTCTCACCAAAAGGATAATTTTCCATCTCCTAGGGAAAAAAATTCCAAGGACCCCTCTCTTCCCTTGCTCCGCATACTAAAAACAGAAAACAGGAGAATGATTTTCCTGGAAATACATTGCACGTGTACTCAGCACTGCCATAGTTTGGCCGAAGTGCGGAATGGAGGATCTCTCTTGCTCTCTCTTGTTTGTTTATTTTAATTTTTATCTTTTTTGCTATCCATCTATGAAGTATGGACTCTCTGGCCGATCTGAATTCATTTCAAATCGAACAGAATGTTTCTTTGGAGCATGTAAATGCGGAGTCACTTGAAGCAGTTTTATTTCAAGCTTCAAGTAGACAGTGGTGATGCTGGTTTTTTTGATGTCTAAGCTACCCACTATAAGTAGGGTAAAAGGAAGAAGCTATTTTACACTTGTGTTCAGTATTTAATCTATGTCTCCTACATTTGGGAATTTACGAAAATCATCTTGGTCTTTTGATATGCATCTCTCATAAGTCATGATGGCTTATTTTATCACATTTTTTTCTTTTGTATGGCTCTAACTTTATTGTACATTATATAGGATTCAGGTTTTGGTTTAAGTGGCAATGACTGTTGTTATATGGTAGTTTTCCATTATGGTTCAATCGTCCTGTTCAATGTCCGTGATCATGAGGTTGATGGGTATCTAAAAATCGTTGAAAAACATTCTTCTGGCTTGTTGCCTGAGATGAAGAAGGATGGTGAGGGCATCTGCAACTATTCTCCTACTTATGCACCTCCCACACACACATGCATCATATCAAATTCAAAAGTCACCCGTCATATGTACAAATTTCTTCTTGCCCCTGTACTCAACCCCATACGTTTCTTGCTTTGAAATCAGAGTATGAGGTGAAAGAGAATCCAAATTTAAATACGTGGATGCAAGGTGGGCTAGATTACATTATGCTGCAGTATTTGAATATTGATGGCATCCGTACAATTGGCAGCGTTCTGGGCCAAAGTATTGCTCTTGATTACTATGTTCGTCAGGTATGTTAGTGCCAGTGAATCTTAAGTAGTACTCCGTACTTCAGTTCTCAGCATTGTTTTCAGTCTTTCAGAACTCTTTCCTTTCCTTCTTCAGGTTGATGGAATGGTTGCGGAGTTTACAGATATCAACAGAGGAATGGAAAAAACTGGCACTTTTACCATGGAGCGGAAAAAGCTTTTCCAGTTGGTTGGAAAGGCAAATTCTAATCTTGCTGATGTTATCCTTAAACTTGGGCTTTTCGAAAGGTAAAAACTGTCTCCATGTGCAATATATTTATATCCTTTTCTTTATTGATAATGCTTGAGATTATCACGTTAAACTTCATTTGCTTCTCACCACTATGATTTTTTGGGTAGTAACTGTAGCAATTCATCAAGGGTGTAACAGAAAGTCGGAAACAAAGTTTCTGCTTTTTAATGGGTTCCTTCATCTTGACCCCAACCTCAATGGGGTCGGTATCATATTGGTTTTGTTGTTTTTTCGTCTTGAATACAGATTCTTAGTTTTCCTTTAGTCCATGACGGGCTATACCAGCGGTCCTTAGCTTTTTGTTTCTCAAAACTCATTTTCTTTGTAAAAATGTGTTAGATCGGACATTGCATGGAAAGATGCAAAATATGCTCAGATATGGGAATACCTGAGAGATGAATTCGAGTTGACTCAGAGATTTGCCAGCCTTGATTTCAAGTTGAAATTTGTTGAGGTAATTAATTCAGTTTTTCCAAGACAATGATTTATTAATTTATTCCAGTACCATTTTACCATGTGTTAAGTCGGAAGTAGTTAGATTAAATGCGTGTTTGGTTGCAGCACAATATAAGGTTTCTTCAGGAGATTCTTCAGAACAGAAAGTCGGATTTCTTGGAATGGCTCATCATCATACTCATAAGCGCGGAAATCCTCATTTCTGTTTATGACATTGCCCAGAAGTCGCCAATCTCCTCCCTCTAGTCCTCCAACGTGTTTATGACTCCTTTGGGGAATCTAGGTTTGCCAATTTAGTGTACATTCTCGGTTTAGGATGATGGTGATGTTTTAAACTAAATTAGATTTCTGAATAGCATCTTGTGTGCCTCCTCAAATGGTGCAAATTAGAGGCACTCAAGTTATATCTTCTTCATTCGTCTTAATTGTAACAAACCAAACGCGCCCGCCGTAAACTTCTATAATGATTTTAGAATAATTTTACAATTTTGTGCATTTTGTAAAAAAGAAATATGAATTTATAAAGCAAATGATATAGAAAGATGATCAAAGAACAAAAATATGGAAGAAGAAGAAGATCAAACAAGAAGGAAGAAGAAGAGAATTGATCGACAAGAATATGACCCAAGAAGAAGAGTAATGAAGAAGAGAAAATTGAAGATTTGAGACAAAAAGGAAGATGGAAGAAGAAGGTGCCAACAATGAGAGATTGGGGGAAAATATAAGAAAAATGCTTGGAAAATCTCTCCTGGTGTACACTTTGAGGCAAAAACAGACATTCAATGTCAAGATTGAGTGTGTGTATGTGTTTGTTTTTGCTTTGGTGTACACCTCAAAATATAATTAATTTTGTATACTACTTCCTTCGTCTCTTGGCAAGTCCAGGGAAGATTGATACTCCGTAGTAGTGGCATAATAGTATGAGATTCATATTAGTGGCAGAATAGTATGGGATACTGAGGGTACTGCTCTCGATTTATTTTTAAAAATAATGTGAAATGTAAAAACATCGAACTTAATCTCAAACAAGTATTTAGATATGAGTAACTAAAATTAGAAGGTTTACACAAGGGAACACATTATCGACATACAACATCATAAATTAGTTTGATTATCACATTTTAAATATTTCACTCTCAAATTCTATTCTCATACTATTTTTTATATTTAAATCAAGATTTTATTCTATTTTTTAGCAGAAGATTTTATTCTTTAATATCACTGCATGCGTTAATTTTTTGGTTTAGGAAAAAAATTGAGTTTGATGAAGTCTCTAATATTTTTGAAATTAGGGACCTAAACAAAAAACCTTAAAATAAAAAATAAAAAAAGGCCAAAATTTCAAAATAAAATGAAGATTGAGAGACAACGTGAGAAAGTAAATCTTAAAAGTTATACTGCATTAGTAATAAAAAGTCGAAGTTCTTGATACAAAAATGAGTATTCTCTCTCTCTTTCTTTTTTTTGCTAGGGTTCAAACTTTAAAATACTTATACTCCCTCTCCATTTGTTTCGAATTTTTTCAAGTTTTTAAAAAGGGGTCTCTTGTGATTATTTTAAAAAATCGCAATCATACAATTTTTGTTATAGTTTTAATTTAGCACTTTTTCCATTGTATAAAAAAGCTTAGATTTATTTTCGTTAGTTTCAAAAAAAGTTTTACTTTTCATTTTTTGGTAAACTTCCCACTTTGAAAAACTTTTGTGGACCATGATATTCTCTCATTTACACTACTTCTAATCACTCAATTTAATCTTGTCAGACTTTTATTCTAAGTCATATATACATGAAATGTAGAGGACAAGTGAAATGCTTTTTTTTTACAACTTTTAATTCAGTACATGTCCCACTTTTTGCATGACAGAATGATTTACAATGTTTGATCAATGCTATTAATATAAAATTAAAAATATAATTTATATATTTAATAATTATATCAAAATGTTTTTATAGTAAGAGGTAGTATGGTTATATTATTTTATCGACTAATAAATAAAAGAAAATATATTTTACAAATAATATAACTTAATCGAATGAATAGTGACTACGATGGTTCACTGAAAGTGGGACAATATGCCTATATTTCAAATTTGTTCCTTACACGTTAAGGAACAAATTAAAAATGTATGATTAGGATTTAAATACTAACAAAGAATATATATAAATGAGATTTTTTTAATAATCACCACGGGCTCTTTCTTTTAAACTTAAAAAAATTGAAACGAATAAAAAAATGAGTACAAAAAAATTAATGCCCAAGGATTAGAGGGACTTTTGGGTATTCTAAAGTATGAACTAATCTAGCATATTCATTTGTTAAAACCAAAAAAGGAAGAATGATACTAGGGTATCAAATATTATAAAGTTTTATTCATATTTGAAAAATGATACTATTATTCATATTCATATTCGTTTTTTATTCAAATAAATATTATTATTCATATTCGATTCGTTATTAAATTTAAATATTCGGTTTGTATTCGTATTCGATTGTGGATTATAAAATATGAGTACAAATTTTGACTTTTTTTATGTTTTATACCTTCAAATTTTTAGGACCGTAACGTCTGAGAGTACGAGAAGATTGCTCAGCTGCACGACTATTGATTGAAGTGCTTTTGCTCAAAAATAAAAGGAAATGACGAGCTGAGGTGTACCGCTCTCGTAGTGAACTAGTGATTAACTTTTATTGAATATAAACTTATTGTATTGGGTCTTTTTATCAATTACTCCATATTTTAATTCATAGCTACACATCCATTCAAAATAATCTAAGTACTTTTTTTTACATGGCATCCAAAAACAAAATACATACTATCAAGTATCAACTGTGGAATACTGCACTAAAAACAAACTATGAAGTACTCTATATTATACTTTGTATATATTATGAAACATTATATTGGTTATAAAATTTTATATCTATCTTCGAATTTATTTGTTAGCATATCGAATCGAATGCATATACATTTGTATTCTTATTTGTTTTCTTTCGAATACTAATAAATATTTATATTCTTATTCATATTCATTTTTTCGAATATGAATAATTGATTTTGAATATGAATCATGAATCGAATCAAAATTATTCTTTCATTTTATAACTCTAATTACCACTACTCAAAACTCAAAAGTAGAGAACCTATTTTTAATTTAATATCTTTAAAAATTGGTGTAGAAGAAAAAATAAATTTTATCTGTATATATTTAAAAATTATATCAAAAGATTTATAAAACTAAAACTAACATGACTAAACCAGTATTATTTTATGAAATGAATAACAAAAACAAACAAAGTACTGCGAATAATGAGCTCATTCGTAAAAAATAATTCATGGATAGAGGAAGTATATCATTAGAAGTTTAAAGCTAGAAATCACGGGAGTTGAAACATATTGGTCAAAGCACAAGAACATGTTTTTTTCGTCTCATTACGTTCAAGTTATATTTAAAAGTATTTCTAATTTGATTTGATTGATCTAATCTAATCTTATCTAATTCAACAAAAATAAGCAATACAACCTCAATGTTCAAACCAATTGAAAAATTTCATGATTTTTAAATTTATTTTATTTACAAATTAGTATAAAAATAAAAACTATAACTTTAATAGTTTAAAAAAACTACATATAAAATTATATAAAACAAGGTGTAAAAAATAATAGTATTTTTTTAATAAAATAATCAATAAAAATATATAAATAAAAAAACATTAAATGCCTTAATAGTAATAATGTAATTTTTTTTGACTAAGTATTAAAAATTAATTGAAGAAAAATATGCACTAAAACTAGAAATTGCAGGGTGCATGTATGAGGGCCGCAGATATGGGCTCAGATCAATTTTTATGACCTTAAGACAAAACCCGCTCTAGGTTCTTCTTTTCTCAAGGAGAATAAAGATTTCACTCAAGTACTAGATGCGACTTCAAAGATTTTCTTTACTACTACCCTCTCTCTCTCTCTCTCTCTCTAAAAACCTTCAAAAATCTCGGCTTTCACTTGCCAGAAGCCCTGGACACCACCTAAAAGAGGTAATCTTTTTCCTCCCCACTTTTTTATCTTCTTCTCCCATCTACTATAGTTATTATAATCCTAAAAATGCATTTTTGGATTGTAATATTAAGATCACATCTTTGTTTCTTGAGATTTTCTTGATTTGGTGCATAAGGGTCTTGTTCAGATTTGTGTGCTTCTAGAATTAGTTCCGAGCATTAGGGTTTATGTGTGTCTTGGAATTGTTTCCTAATTGGTGAATTGGGGTTTTTACGTCTTTCCACTCATGAAGCTGGAACCTTTACTTAGGTTCTGCGGTCATGGATGAACCTGAAGGGGCGGCAACAGCCAAGAATAGTGAGGAAACCCTTATGGTGAATTTGGATCGAGCTGAAGATGAAAGTGATGTAATGTTTGAGGTGAAGGGCTCTGAAGTGTTTGTTGATGGGGACAGCCTGAATAAGGCGGATTCTGAGTTTAGAAGTGAAGATTTGGATGGTGGAAGCAATTTTGTGGCAAAAGATGGCAATGCGGCCTCTGCTCGTTCGGAAAGGGAATCTGAAGGTGGAGTTGAAGATGATGTTTCGGAGGCAGCCCGAGATGTTGATTTAGTATCTATGTCTGCTGAGCCAGATGATCTAGTAACGAATTGTGGGGGGATTGGTTGTGTGAATGGAGACTCAAAGAGTTCAGAAGAACAACTTACTACTGAAGATGGTGTGTTCATTCCTGAAAGAGAGGAGAAATGTTGTTTAAATGGTGAAGAAGCTTCACATGGCTTCTGTGCAAATGCTGCCGGGGTTTCATCATCTTCAGAGGAAAAACAAGGTCTGGTACTGTGTTGAATCCATTACAATTTACAAACGTGTCATGATATATATGTACATATATAGATTGTTCTGTTATTTCCATCATCTCCGATGGAGCCAAAATTTCACCATTTTTTGGCTTTGGGGTGTGATGGAATAAATCAAAATGGATCTCTAAACTGTCTGCGCTTCTTTAATTAATGAAGTAGCAGTTAGTCAAGCAATGCAACTTTCGACGTTGAGCCGGGGGTCTCTTTGGAAACAGCCTCTCTACTTTCAAGTAGGGGCAAGGTCTGCGTACACACACCCTCCCCAGACCCTACTCTTGTGGGATTTAACTGGGTTGTTGTTGTTGTATATAGATTGTTCTGTTAACACAATAAATAAAACTGCAGATTGTCCTATCGGATCAACGAATTATCAACAGAGTCATTGCAAAGGGGCTACTTTGATGCCAAAAAATGAGGAGACTAGCTTCAAAGATGAAGAGGCTATGGATGGCCATGTTTCTGGTGCTGGAGTATCATCATCTTTAGAGAAGGGAGAAGGTTTGGTGGAGATCCCAACTCTTTCAGAGAAGGTTGATAGAATCGGTTGTTTTGGTCACACCACTAATGAAAATTCAAATCCCATTTCTGAACCAAAATGTCCACCAAGACATACTGTTAGAGAAGATGCTGTTGCTTTGCTTCATACAGAAAAAGATGCAAAATTTGAAGGCAGAGATATGCATGGTGATTCTGATGTAGATGCTGAACTGCCTTCTTCTGAGAAAGATGAAGGTTTGGTGAACCCAACAGTTTGTGAGAAGGTGGATATAATAGATTGTTCTGGTCATGAAAGTAATAATGTTTCAGATTCTCCTTCTGAACCAAACTGCTCTCAAAGCCAAATTGTTAGAGAAGAGGAGACAATGTTCAAAGATGAAACCATGTGTGATGCTGGAGCATCATCTTCTGAAAAAGGTGAAGGTTTAGCAAATCTAATTGTTTCTGAAGAGGCCTATCGTGATTTTTGTTTTAATGACAGAAATAATATTTCAGATTCCCATTCTGAAAGAATGTGTTCGCAAAGACAAATTGTTGGAGAAATAGCTGCTGTTTTGGTCCCGAGGGAAGAGGAGACAAGTTTCAAAGATGACGCTTTATACGACCGTGTTGTTGATGCAGGAGTATCATCTCCCAAGAAAGGCGAAGGTTTATTGCATAACCCAACTGTTTCTGTGGAGATCGTTAAAGATTGTTCTGGTCATGAAAGTAATAATTTTTCAGATTCTCCGTCTGAACCAACGATTCCACATAGCCAAACGGTTGCAGAAGATGCTGCTGCTTCCATTCTCACAAAAGAAGATAGCGAAATGGAAGATGTAGATATGCATGATTCTAAATCAGATATTTCACGGAGCCATTGCAAAGATGACACTTTGACACCAAGAGAAGTGGATGCGAGTTCAGTGAATCCACCTGCTTCAGAGAAGGTTGATGTAATAGATTGTTATGGCCATGAAAGCAATGAAGTTTCAGATTCTCCTTCTGAACCAAACTACTCACAAAGCCAAATTGTCAGAGAAGAGGAGACAAAGTTCACAGTCGAAACGTGTGGTGCTGTTTCTGATGCTGGAGCACCATCTTCTGAAAAAGGTGAAGGTTTAGCAAACCTAACTGTATCTGAAAATGCCAATAGTGATTGTTGTTTTAATGAAAGTAATAATATTCCAGATTCACGTTCCGAACGAATGTGTCCGCGAAGACAAATTGTGGGAGAAGAGGCTGTTGTTTTGGTGCCAAGGAAAGAGGAGACAAGTTTCAAAGACGAAGCTTTCTGCGACAGTGTTGCTGATGCAGGAATATCATCTTCTGAGAAAGGTAAATGATTAGTGAATAACCCAACTGTTTCTGAGGAGATCGATATAGATTATTATTCTGGTCATGGAAGTATTAAATTTTCAGATTCTCTATCTGGACCAATGATTCCATATAGCCAAACTTTTGCAGAAGATGCTGCTGATTCGATTCCTAGAGAAAAAGATACCAATATGGAAGATGTAGATATGCATTATTCTAAAACCGAGATTTCACAGAGCCGTTGCAAAGATGAAACTTTGACTCCAAGAGAAGTGGATACGAGTTCCGTGAATCCAACTGCTTATGAGAAGGTTGATGAAATCGATTGTTCTGGCCATGAAAGGAATAAAGTTTCAGATTCTCTTTCTGAACCAAACTGCTCACAAAGCCAAATTGTTGGAGAAGATGAGACAAGGTTCACAGTCAAAACTATGTGTGATGCTGTTTATGATGCTGGAGAAGGATCTTCTGAAAAAGGTGAAGGTTTACCGAACCTAACTGTATCTAAAGAGGCCAATAGTGATTGTTATTTGAATGACAGTAGTAATATTTCAGATTCCCATTCTGATCAAATGCATTTACAAAGACAATTTGTGGGAAAAGAGGCTGTTGTTTTGGTGCCAAGGGAAGATGAGACAAGTTTCAAACACGAAGCTTTATGTGACCGTGTTGCTGATACGGGAGTATCATCTTCTGAGAAAGGTAAAGGTTTAGTGAATAACCCAACTGTTTCTGAGGATAGGTTTTCTCGGCAGCGAATCAATTCAAATCGAGATTATATGCTCTCTGTTAGTTTTAGTTCCCTTTCGGATAGGTAGTTCTAGGCGGTTCCAGAATATATGCCCTCTCTCTCATTTTAATTTGTTAGTTTGAGTTCTATCTAGGATAGGTAGGTAGTTCTGGGCGGCATTGAGCTAGTGTGTGATATGATCTGTTCTCTCTTATTTTGATTAAATGCTTCCTCAAAAAAGACTATGGACATTGGAGAAGAGGATCATGTCTCCAAGCCTAGTACATGGAGGGAATACGAGAAAGGAGGCCTGTCATTGTCGGTTGGGAGGAAAAAGTATGGAAATGAAAGTACAAATTGAGCTAGTGCGTGTGTGTGTGTACAATATGTTCTCTTCTCTCTTATTTTAATTAAATGCTTCAGAGAGGAAATGAAGCATTTATATTAAAATAAGAGAGGAGAACAAATTGAATTCACACACACACATTAGCTCAATTTGTACTTTCATTTTCATACTTTCGCTTCTCAGCCGACAATGACATGCCTCCCTTTAGGTCTTCCTCCAACCCCTTCTCGTATTCCGTCTTTGTAGTAGGAGCCTTGTACCCTTGATCTTTGGCATCCATAGCTTGCCTTTCCCGAGGATCAAATTAAAATATAAGAGAGAGATGGAATTTACACACTAGCTCAATGCCACCTAGAACTACCCACATATTCGAGAGAAAACTCAAACTAACAAATTAAAATGAGAGAGAGAGATAGCAGGGCATATATTATGGAATCGCCTAGAACTTCCGATCTGAAAGAGAACTCAAACTAATAGGGGGCAGATATACGAGAGAGCAGGGTATATATTCTCGATTTGAATTGCTTTGCTACTGAGAACACCTATCCGAGAGAGAACTCGAACTAAATTTTTCAGATTCTCCGTCCGTACCAATGATTCCACATTGCCAAACTCTTGCAGAAGATGCTGCTGCTTTGATTTCCACAGAAGAAGATACGAAAATGGAAGATGTAGATATATATGATTCTAAATCAGAGATCTCACAAAGCCAATGCAAAGATGGCACTTTTATGCCGAGAGAAGTGCAGACGAGTTCAGTGAACCCAACTGTTTCCAAGAAGGTTGATGCAATAGATTGTTTGGGCCATGAAAGTAATAAAGTTTCAGAATCTCCTTCTCAAGGCCATAGTGTTGCAGAAGATGCTGACGCCTTGATTCCAATAGATGAAGAAACATGTTTGGAAGAAGATATGCTCGATTCAGTTGTAGATGGAGATTTCTCAAAGCATCCACGGAGTCATTGCGAAGATGTTGCTTCGATGGCAAGAGAAGTGGAGACACATTTCAATAATAATGAAGCTATTTGTGCTTATGTTGCTGATGATGTTGTAGTATCATCGTCTGAGAAAGGTGAAGGCTTGTCGGATAACCCAATTTTTTCTGGGAATGATGATACAATACAACTAGATTGTTCTGGTCATGCCAGTGATAGAAGTTTCACAAAACAAACTGTTGGAGATTATATTTCAAGCGAAGAATATACAACAATTATTGATGACAAATATCTGAATGATTCAGTTGCAGATGCCAGACCATATTCTTTGGAGGGGAATGAACAGGGTTTTGCAGATCCAACCATTTGCAAGGAGAACAATGAAGATTTTACAAAACACGAGACAGATGGAGATCTGTCAGAGAATTCACAGAGTCATTGCGAAGATGTTGCTTCGATGACAAGAGAAGTGGAGACAAGTGTAATTGAAAATGAAGCTATATGTGATCATGTTGCTGATGATGTTGTAGTATCATCCTTTGCGAAAGGCGAAGGCTTGTTGGATAATCCAATTGTTTCCGTCAAGGTTGATATGATAGATTGTTCTGGTCATGCAAGTGATAGAATTTCACCCAGACAAACTGTTGGAGATGGTATTCCTAGCGAAGAGTATACAACAAATAGTGACGACAAAGATCTGCATGATTCGGTTGCAGTTGCCAGACCATCTTCTTTGGAGGAGAATGAACATAATTTAGTAAATCCAACTATTCGTGAGGAGACCAATGAAGATTGTACAGAACATGGGTCTGGTATGATCTCAGATTGTCCGGCTGATGCTGTTATTGGAGTCGGGCAAGTTGGAGTTCTCAATGAAAATGAGATTAAAAATTCAAAGGTGGAAGCCAATAGTCGTGTTGTCGGGGATACAATCTTACCTTATTGTCAAGAAAGTTTGGAAGGGGATGAAGGGAACCGTACTGCAATTCATGATAAAGCTGAATCTCTCAAGAGTGCTGGGGATCATCATACATCTTCTGTGAATGACACGTCCTTAGAAACCTCCAATTACAATGATGCAATGGATATTGATGATAAAAAGTTAGACATTAGAAATGCAACTAACTTAGGTTCTATTAATGACTCTGATGTTGTGCAGAATGATGAGATGGATGTGGATGAGGAAACGTTAGATGTCGTTAATGATGCAGCTAACTCAGGATCAACTAAAGACACTGACATTGTACAGACTGTGGTTGTCCCTGACAATACACAGGCCCTGGAAAACAAGATAGTTGCAAACTTTGCACTTGAAGGTTTGAATGGCCATGAACATGAGCCAAATGATGCTGTTGATTTAGATACTGATAAAGGCACTGAGGTGATGGGTGAACAGATTGTTGTTAATTCTGCATTTGAGTTCGTTGATGAAGGGTTTTGGCAAGACGACGAGGGAAGAAATGCTTCAATGGCAAGGAGTGA